ATTTTTCAAGTTGGAAAACCCTAGGGCCACTACTCAAAGCATATCGAGACTTGATTTCATCCCAAACATCCTTAGCAACAGTAAAAAACAACAAGGATTGACGAATTTCTTTAGACACAGAGTTAAGCAACCAAGACAGTACCAGATTGTTTGCCCTGACCCATGCAAGAGACTCAACAGGTGACTGAGTAAGGGAAGGGACAGAAACAGTACCATCTATGAAGCCAGCTTTATTTTTCACACTTAAGGCCATAAGAATCGCTCGCGACCAGGAGACATAGTTTTCTCCCGTGAAGACCTCTGCAACAATAAGTGCTCCCGGATTATCGCTGGGATGCAGAAAGAACGGCGATGACGGATCGTCGGTCGGTGGTGCAGTGGTATGAGCAGCCATAGAAATCTTCAAGCAGTAAAGTGTATATGATCGATTGAAAATCAGAAAACACAAATCGCAAGGCTTTGAAATCGCAGATCTAGGGTTACGAAAACCAGATCTACAAAATCAAAACAACGATCGAGTAAAAGGATGATGCAGCGGAAATATAACAGCAAAAGATCGAGTAAACCTCAGCGATTGATACCATAATATGAACGATAAAGTGATCGATTCATTGAAGGAAATTCTGTAGAGACGAGAGAAAGAAAAGAAGAGATTGTATTGAACGAAAAACTGGAAAACAAAAGTATAGTGTACAACCCTAATTCTCCCTTTTATATGGGGGAGAGATAAAACCTAATGGGCTGAACAAATATCACAAAGTAAAGGCCCAATATACAAATAACTACTAAGCCCAATGACTAAATATAAAACAGATCCAAAATATAAAAGGTCCAAATACATATAAAGTCCAAATACATATAGTTGTTACTTCTAATAGGCTTGAGTACATTTCAAGTTAGTGGGATCGACCCGTTTTTCCCTCAGTTTCTTACATAAATGAAATTTAATAAAATTTCATTTTTATTTTTATTTTTTATTTTTTTTTGTTGACTAAATAGAAAACATATGTACTTACTAAAACAAGACCATCCATTTACTATATAACCACATACATCAAAATCCAGAAACCTTACAACTTAACTATCACAAATACAAAAACATGACAATCTTAAAAGTGACCAAATACTTTCAACATGACAAGAAGAACCAAGCACGAGTTGATAGCTAGTGCTACCAAGAGAAACAAAGCATTCCTTAAAAAGACCCAAAAGCCTCGTGAAAAAGACAAATGAGCTCTCTATACTATGTGGGGTCAACGTTGGTCGAGAGGTTCGTCAACACTTCGAATGCAGAAAAATCTAGAAAAATGGAAACACACGAAACAAACGCGCTTCGAGCCTGGGCCCGTG